ATATATACATTTAAAAAATAAAAATAAAAAAATAAAACGAAAGTAGTTAGATCTAATAATAAATAATAATAATGAAATTAAAAAAAGAAAAGAATCGGGATCCTATAGTACCTTATGCCCTTCCGGCACCGTAAAACTCCTACAAAACCAAACGTAGAAAAGAAGGGGCAGAATTTAGAACCAAAGGTCACATAAACTTTATAATCAGTTACACCCCTTAGATCTCCCTCGGTTATTGCCTTTTGAAGTCTCAGAACACGATAAGACGGTTGTTTGGTGAAAAGATTTTTGATTTGCTTTTGTTTTATATGTTCATTTTCTCTCTCCTTTTTTTTTTTTTTTACAAAAACAAACACACAACAACCCAAAAACGGGGGTGGGAGGGGGAGGTGGACGCGTGAAACGGAACCAATAAAAGAAAGCAATAATCTATCCCGCAAGCCACATTAAATAAATTGAAACTTCTTAACCCTATCTGTACGTCGTGTTTTACCATTGTATCCATACGACGTATTGAGCTGTGTGCCACCATTTCCAAAGAGGGAATTTACTCGTTTATCCGATCCGTAGGCTTTGCATATTAACAGTCTGTCAAAATGATGTTGTGAGAAATGCTGAAAGTTTTAAATAAAGAGATCTTCGTACTAGAAGTATTCTAAAATGTGAAGAATACAACCCCGGGGGTACACAATGACCCCGGGGCGTTCTTAATAACAAGTTGCTTTTGGCCAAATTGTGTGGTCGTTGGCAACTTTTCTGAGAGCACTGATGTGTGGTATAAACATTAAGTACCTTTTCTCCTTTTTCTCTTCTACGACGTTACTTGAGTTGTGGACTATTGTTTCTCTTTGATGCTCATCAATTAATTCAATGAAAATGTAACACATATATCTTGTTCTATCTGTAACATGATAGAATGGCATACGTCACATGCATATCTAGATGCCAAACTCTAAACTGGTTACGTTATATTAGAGCAGTGACAAAGCTAGTTAAGTTCTATGGCTCTTCCTCTTCTCAGTTCCAAATCAATTTTGTATCATTCTGCCTGAAAAATGTACATTGTTTATAATATGACATGTGTACTTTACATTTTTTTCATAAACAAATCTTGTATTATTCGCAACTAATTACTGCAACAGCAACGACAGAGATAACAATAACAGCAAAACAACAGCAACAACAACAACAAAAACAAAAGCAGCAGCAACAACAGCGATAAAATTGATAATAATATAGACAATAATGTAGATAACAACAACAACAACAACAACAACAACAACAACAACAACAACAACAACAACAACAACAACAACAGCAGCAGAATAAAATAAATAAATAATGAAATTGATAATATCAAAGCTGTCGGTAATAATGATAATAGCAACAACAACAACAACAGCAATCACGACTGACTGCTCCTCCTCTCTTCACCGTCCAGCCACAAGCCCCCGGTTCAAATCCTGCCTGGGGACGAGATCAAGACAACGTGTGTGTTCAACTCTCTCTCCTCTGACCGCTGGGTCTACTATGGCGACGGCACCAACGACGAGATGTGTTATGGCTTCTTGACCATATACCCCAGGGACGCTGTGCCTTTTACCACGTGTAAGCCAAACTGTTCTCGCTTACGAAACGACACCGAGACGAAACAAATTATTACAGTAATGTGTCCTCGTATTTTGTGCTTGTCTTGTATCGTTCTGATGGACTGGCTCCAAACATTACTTTTTTGAAGACTGACAGCATTGCTTTTCTACAGACTAATTTCAAGCATTTCTTTCCTACCGACTGACCCAAAGCATTACTTTCTATTGACTGACTCCAAGCATTACTTTTCTATAGGTTGATCCCAAGCATTACTTTTCTATAGACTGACTCAAAGCATTACTCTTCTGTACGCTGACTTCAACCATTACTTTTCAGTAGACTGACAGTACTACTTTTCTGTAGACTGGCTCCAAGCATTACTTTTCAGTAGAATGACTCCAAGCATTTTAGTATACTTATCTGTACACTGACAGCGTTACTTTTCGGTAGACTGACTCCAATCACTACTTTTCTGAAGACTGCTGTGCTGTGTTATGCTATGGTATAATATGCTATATAATGTGTTAATGCTCATTTCAAACACCGTGTGGTTACTTAATGAGGAAAAATCTCCAGGCCCAAAGTCTATCTCCGATAAGGATGAGCCAAAATGGGAAGAGGGCCCTGATAACTTTATCAAATAACACGTCGAGTCTGAGAGTACCCCTTTGGAGAATTGAGACATCACCAGGATTGTCAGCACCGTAGTAGAGCGTGATACTTGTTGAGCCAAAGGTGAAGCGTGCTGACAAAATGAGTTACTTCTCGGAGTTTAACCCTTCGGACATAGATAGGTCAACTTTATAGGTTGGCCTTTTGCAGCTTATTGATATGAAATGATAAAAGAGATGTTTAATCTTGAAGAAAATGGCACCGGCTCAAAACCTAACATTTTGACCACGTTTCGATTTTAGACAATTAATATCTCCAAAGTCCAACCCTTCGTCCTCGTCGGGGGAGGTGGAAACAGGACAAAGTAGGGGATAGCTGGGTCAGGGTGAAGTACGGTGTGACTTAATGTCACTGAGGCGTTACCCTAGCCGTGAAGGCCGACCCGGGTCACCCCGAAACGTTGCTGGCTAAAGGGGCTCTGGTGAAACTGTGACTGGCCTAGCTAGCCGACGGCGGATAAATACTGCTACGAAACAATCAAAGGAGAAAACACTGAAACATAACTTCACAACTGAAAGAGCTGCAAAGCTGGCCTACCATAGAAAACTGCATCTCCCCTTGACGCTTAACGGCAATAGAGGAGGTAAAAGTAAAAGTAAAAGTAAGGGAGATTGCGAAATGTATCTCATTTTGTCACCTCACCTCACAAAGGTATATCCATTCATTACATCGTCTAGTTGCATGTTACCCCTATGTTCCCTCCCCCCTCCCCAGACCTCCTCTCCGTTGGTGGTTGTCGGGTGCTCTGGTGTGGTCAGCTCCTTCTTTCCCATCAAACATCTATCATCTTTATTTCTCCTCCTTTTTTTCTTGTGTTCGTTACTCTCTTGTAACATCTCTAATCTTAGGCACTTAAAAATGGTTTGGGTTTAACGCCCCTATCAACACTATTATGTTATTTAAGGGGCAGGACCTCCTAGTTTAATGTCCGTCTCCGATAGGACCGAGGCAAGTGGGAAGTTCGTGTAAAGTGCCTTTCCCAAGGACACAACGTCGGGCCGAGCTGTTAGGCACTTAAATGACCTTATTGTGTTGCAAGTGCCGTAAAACACGTACTGCAGCTAAACTAGACACTTCCTCTCCAGCCTGTGTAAGCTTTGGTCCTGCGTCCACCTGTGAGATGTTCGGCCCACAAAAGCAGCCCATCAACGGTTGTGACTGGAACGCCTTCACGGACGAGAGTCACCCAGAGACGGCCAGACTGTGGCAGGACCTGGAGAAGAACTGTAACCTGGACGGATTCTGCAGGTCAGCTCATGGGTCATCCCCCCGGGGCAGTGCCACTGACTGAAGTGTCTTTAGGCCATTCCCAAAGGGGGGGGGGACATATCTCGTTCAAGCATAGTAGAATTGTAAATAGGCTGATTCATCTTGTCACGCTCATAACTGTGCCTGATATACAACAGGAAACTGCTGCTTTTTCTTTCCTGATCCTTACTATTGTCATTTTTCTCTACTTCTTTTGTATGTTTGTCACTCCCTTGTGACCTGCTATTTTGGGGTGCCTTGATAGTCGAAGCAGACCTTGTGCTGTTGAAGCTAGAGAGGTGAGCAGTCTAAGTCTGATTCCCTGTCATGACTTCTCTGTTGACACCCACCCCTTGGCGCTCATTTGACCTTATGCAGTTGCGAGTGCCGTAAAACCCTCTACTATTAAAAAAATCATGGGTCAAGGGTGTCAGGAGGGACAAGGCTATTGGGTATTAAGAATGGTCAAGATGGTTCAGATGGTATTATGGGTCAGATGGTTAGATGGTTGGATGGGTCAGATAGGTCAGATAGGTCAGATGGGTCAGATTGTCAAATAGTTAGATGGTCACCTGGTCATATGGTGGTCAGATGGTTGGAAGATCACATAGTCAGAGGGTTATAGATGGTTAGATGGGTCAGATGGCTCAGATGGGTCAGATGATTCATCATCATCATTCGGTGCCTTGCTAACTAACGTGGGCGATCATGGACCCCAAGTGCACTCTGTCTTGCGTTGCTGCGATGATGTCTGTCGTTCTTGCTGTTCCCAGCCATGTTGTCAACTTGTCCAGTATCTTTTCTCTCTGTCTTCCTCTTCCTCTCTTTCCATCAAACTTGTTGTTGTTACAATATTCTTCAATGTTTCTTTTCACATTGTATGTCCAATGAACTTTGCCTGTCGCTTTCGTATATTCGCCATTAGCTATCGTCTGCAATTTGCTTCAACCAAGACTTCAATAGGGATGTTAAGAATGGTCAAAATGGGGCAGATGGTCAGATTGGCGAGATGGTAGGGTGGTTAGATGGTTAAATGGGTTAGATGGGTCAGATAGTTAAGATGGGTCAGATGGTCAGATAGTCATATAGTCAGAAGGTCACGTGGTCATTTGATCATATGGTTGGATGGTCAAATAGGTCAGATGGTTAGATGATTAGATGGGTCAAATCAATAGATGGTCAGATGGTAAGATGGTTAGATGGTTAGATAATCAGATAACTAGGAGGGTCAGATTGTCAGATGGTCAGATGATGAGATGGTCAGGTGTTCAGATGGTCAGATGGTCAGATAGTTAGATCGTCACATGGTCAGATGGATCAAGTAATTATCATTATCCTAATTCTTCTTCTTCTTCTTCTTCTTCTTCTTCTTCTTCTTCTTCTTCTTCTTCTTCTCATTATTATTATATGATATAGAAAGCTGGTGAAAAAAAAAAGAAATACACAAGTAGATTTAAGTTTCTTCTAAAAATGTTGTGATAAAATCGAAGTTTCATGTCTCATCCTTATCGACCCACAGACCTGAATGCCGAAAAATTACAGACGAGCTGAAGAAACACCCATGCATGCAAGGGGAGGTCGCCGATCTCGTGAACTTTAGGCTGGCGAGGAATCACGAGGGGTCAAAGTTCCTTGGACGAGTCCACTCTTGCCCCACGATGGACCAGAACCCCGGGGACGTAAACTGCAGCAGTCACTGCTCAGACGTCTGCCCTGGTAACGTCAGAGACAACGCCCCCGGAAGTGCTGCCATGTTTTGGCTAGTTACGTTATCATTCGTCCTGGTCCAAACAATTAATGTCTTTTCATGTTATTGATCTATGGTTTGGAACCATCAAATCATGGGGGAAAATACTTTCTATATTTTTATACTGCTTTCTATTCAATAAAGTTTTATTCTTTTTTATTTCGGCCTGATGTTATTTTGTTTGTCAATAAAGCTATTTAACTACACACATGTACACATAAAAACAGTTCTAAACAGAAACTCTTGATATTCCTCTCAAATTTAAGTTGTTGCCATATAAAATCTAACAGCTTTGAAGGCTTTCTTGTAGTCATAGATATGGGAACTAATGGGGTTTTTTTTTCCAATAAGAGTTTTACTGCACTTGCAACATAATTAGGTCATAATAAGTGCCTAAGTAACGAACATAAAAAAGGATGAGGAGAGATCTGGACAATAATATTTTAAGTTTGATAAGAAAGAAGGAGCAAACTACACCAGAGCACCCGCCAACCATCTCTCTGAGATGTAGACACCCATGGTTCGATAATTACTACTCCACAATGCGGGATCGTCCTCTTTTCCCTCCACCATGGCAGTGATGATACCATAATTATCTCGAAGATCTCCTTCAATAAATATTAGATTACTTGAGAAGTGGCACCTAAATCCAACACGGGATAGAACTGCTATCAGAAAGTCTAACTTTCTGGAATACAAATACTTAAGAAAGGAATTTTTTCTTGAAAAGAGCAAACCCAGGAGCTCAGGATTATGAGGCGAATTTTTCAACCATATTATAAAATGCATAGGGTTTTTTAAAATTGTTTTTTGTTTGTTTTTTGGTTGGTTTAGTTGTTGTTGCTATTGCTGTTGTTGATTTTTTGGTTTGTTGTTGTTGATTTTTTGGTTGTTGTTGTTGTTGTTGTTGTTGTTGTTTAGTTGTTGTTGTTGTTGTTGTTGTTATTGTTGTTGTTCTTTGTAGAGATACCCAATTTAATTCTACATTTTCTGTCCTCTTATACCCTGAGGTGTCGAGGGAAGATGCAATTGTTGGACGTGGGCCAGATGTGCTATTGTTTGGATCGTCATGTTGTTTCTTTGGTGGGGTCTCTTGGACTCCGTCAATTCAACTTTTTCTTAGATTTCATTTTGCCTTGATGCCATTTAATTGTGTGTTGTGGGCCTTAGAGGCTGGCTGTTATGACCCTATTCTCATAACATGTCCAAACCACATTATTTGTTGTTTCTCGATGTATATTAGCATTTCGTGCTCTATTCGATGCCCAATTGATGCCTGATGTCTTCGGTTTTATTTGTCTGTCCCTTTTTGTGATATATGGTCTTTTTCAAAGTGTTCTTTTCTATCTTTTTACGTTTTAAGCCCAAATCAACACAACTTAGGTAATTCTGGAGGCAGGCTACAACTCTATCTGTTAGGGACAATCTCCAGATGAAACATCGAGATACTCTCTACCCTCCCCCCTCAACATA